AAAAGTCATTAATATGATAAGTGAATTCGATTTCAATTCACATTATGACAAACAAGGGCAAAACATGACTCCTAACGTACACGTTCTTGGTTTAATCCATTACTTGGCCAGCATGTCCAAATCAAATATAGATCAAAGATCCTAAAATACATAAAGATGAATTTATTCACCGCAGAGTTATGGTTAATCCATTGAATCTCATTATGGCTGTATAATGCCATACATCAATTTTATGGTCGGGCTACGAATGAACGTTCGGGGAGCCTTTTAGTTGAAATTAATTTTGTTATACCACGTTCTCTTTTTTCTACCTTTTTTAACGTGGCTGTATGATAATTTATCCCTTTGTACTTTAATCGTTGTGAAAAAAAGGTTACGATGAATTTATTGATGACTTTTGTTCGATGAAATATTCAAGTCAACACTGGTCTACATATTAAACCGTGCACTTATTACATACATTATTGGATATTTGTTTAAAAATACATTTTAAACACAACTTCCAATATTAAAAAAAAAACATCAAACAACACTAAAATTTAGCGCCATAACCTTTTCGCTCTCTGTTTTGTTTTTCTACACACATGAGTTCATAAAATTTTTAAAAAAGATAGAGGAACATAAAACTCTTTCGTCATCTATTTTTACGAAAGTTGTAAAAAAACACCTCTTCATAATATTTAAAAACAGAAGCATGAGTCATGCTACTTTTATGCAAATTATGTGAACATCACGTGTCAGGCGAATGACCTGACCAGGTATGGTCAGCTTACGCGGTAAGTACAAGTGCCGAGACCGAGCCGAAGGCCTGTTGTGTCTACAGCAGCTTAATGACTGCGATTAACGAGTTGCTCTTATCGTATCAACTTTACGATACTATAGTAGGTATGACGTGTTGTGTTTGACATTCCATTGTATTCAATCTAGTTCATTATAGTATATTGAAAACATGCAATGTAAATATTTTCATTTTATAATTTCGTTTGTTATTTAACCGTTTTTTTTTTTTTGTTGTATTGCCAATCGATTTTTTTCAATATTGTTACATTTCCATAAGATTTGTCAATATTTATACAATTGTTATTCTCATATTTTCGCTTTATAATGATTCTTTGATTATAGAAATGATAAAAATATAGAAATAGAAATGGCATTTGATTTCATTGAATACCTAATAGTTTGCGGTGATAAGTAATAAGCTAAAATGTACAATTTGAATTTCTATTATCAATTCAATGCGTCGGTGATCATGATAGGGCTGTTTTGCATTGGAAATTACTGGCTTCATGATATGTGGCAGGAGAATATGTTAATGAGGTTTTTTGGCAACGTTATTAGTGCAATGTTTTTTACAAAGCAGAATTCCCATTTCATGTTATAATCACCCTTTTCATAGGAAAACTTTATAAATATGTGAGTCATTTTGTAGCCGAGGCAATTTCGCAATACAATAATCGTATAATTTGCTAGTAATTAATTAAAAGCGTTTTTGCCGCGCAATTTGCCATGTATCCCATTGCTGAACGTAGTAAGAGAGACAGAGAAAGTTGCTTTACTTAAGATAATCAGTATTAATTGGGTTTATAAAACATAAACATAGACATTATCACTAAATAGTATAAAACAAAGTCGCTTTGTTTGTCCCTGTATCCCTATGTATGCTTAAATCCTTAAAACTACGTAACGGATTTTGATGCGGTTTTTTTTTCGTAGATAGGGTGATTCAAAAGGAAGGTTTTTATGTAAAATACAAGACCACGCGGGCGAAGCCGCTGGCGGAAAGCTAGTAATATATATCACGGAATTCATATTTCACACACAGAATCATATATTTATCAGAATCTTTGATAGAATACAATAGGTACATATTTATTTCTGACATACCATATAAATTATAACTATAAAAAAAAAACAAATAAAAATAATAACAAACAACACTAATTTTGTTCGATGTGAGTAGGTAATCATAGAGTATCTTAACAGACAATTAAATTTCATTCGGCTCACGTACTCATATAAAGATTTACACTTCAACGTCGCAGACTCGAATACCGTTTAGATATTAGCATTGCAAAATGAGAAACTGCATCAGCTGGCATTGTACGAATACGCTTACCATCATAATTCAACTCGTCAAACTTATCCAGAACGAAAGCACCAACAATAATTTCAGCTTCAAATTGTAAATACAATGTAGATATACTACAAAAAAATTTCGTAAAGGCCTTATCGGCCATCGGATCGTTGACCATTATTTTTATAGAGCTTCTAAAGTAATCTATGAGGCACATTGACAATTCGTTTTCGCGTGAAAGAGGTAATAGTCTTCCAATATTTCATTTCTGTAATATAGATATGTTAAGAAAAATATGAATAATTTCTTATGATTCATAAACAACATTGAAAATTTACAATAGAGGTCCTATTTCAAAGGTCTCTTAGAAATTATTCGCGATTCTAAATCCACTATCATGATAAAATTATAATTGTCTTGTATGGATACCACTTTTATATAATTTGGAACTGGTTAGATTGCTGTCCCGACTATCAGCGAAAACTTTGAGTTTATCTATAGATAGATATAAAAGGCAAATCTGACTGACTTATATATCAACGCACAGCCGAAACTAGTATACCTAGAGACTTAAAATTAGGTACTGGAGTTCCTTTAATGATGTAAGTGAACACTAATGAAGTATTTATTAAGAAATTCAACCCGTAAAGGGGTGAAATAGAGGGGGGTAAAAACCATGCCAGCGAAGCCGCCGGTTTATTATATTAACAAATAGAATCGAGCATCAAACATCATAAAGATTATTTACTCTATAAAAAAAATATGAAGCATTACAAAAAAATATAATAACCAAAATATAATAACCGTTTTCCAGTTTTGTAACATTATTTACTCAAACAGTAACATATCAGTCAAAAAGATTTGTATTGAGTGAGATTGCCTTTCAAACAAAGACGATTTTTGTCACCTTAAACGTTAAAAAATGATGTGTCCCCGACCTACGCTTTTACTATAATTCCCAAGCTTTGTGCATTGTATGCAAATAGAGTAAGGCCAAGTGCTGTGCATTACGCAGTGTCGAATGCGCCCACAACATTTTATTTCCGCGCACTAAATACAACTCGCAATTGCAGGTTTGACTGTCAATATTTAAAAAACATCCAGTTTGATTTAATTTCTTTTTAGTTATTCATTGCTTTTACCGTGTGTTTTTACTTCTATTGCTAAGAAAATCGGTCATACATTATGTATAGCATAGGTTTTTTTTTTAATTTTGTGCCTATGAACCAAGAAGAAACTATGAGCCTACAGAAAAGTATATTTATAAGTAAAATACACTTATAATAAAATATTCACCAAATAAAAATAATTCAGAAATATCCAATATTAACGCCCTGTTGAGAAGTTCAAGAAGGACAGTAGCACACCTTCCTACTACCTAAGAAAATACCAATACCTAATATAAATATTTGGAGTAATTGGTTTTTCTTGAATTTAAATATATATATTAAACAAATGAAAAGTATTCTTTGTATGTCTTTTACCGAATACTTATCGGGATTGACGTCATATACCTACCGATATGCAAACATTGTTTGGGCGATTGTACCGCCCGCCGAAAGTTTGCATCGCCATATTTGTCATTTTTCCCACTTGTTTGCGTACATAGTTTGCTTGTATAGCTTGCAGGTACACAAAGCAACTTTACTAATATCCACCCGTTCCTTCCAAAGAAACTATTTTTAGCGCAGCTATTATATTCATACTCTTTATTATTTCTTTCAAGGCTTTTGGCGGTAGAAAGTGTAAAGTCAGCATAGTTATTATAAGTACAAGCAAATGTTTGAATACTTTTTTTATATATTTTTGCATCAAAAGGATGTATGCATAACAAACAAGGCAAAAACTATATTATTCGATATGCCATAAACCTAAATATCCTGTACTTATTCTACGGCAGCTAGTCACCTTGCATATACCTCTAAAGGAATGTTCACTACACAATATTTTATTATTGCGTATAATCATCGCTATGGTATAAAAGCGTTATTATAAAACTGTGTGCTTACTTCTTTTGTTAATTAGAACGACTTGCAATATTCCAAATATTATTTATATGCAAACACGCGCCGCCCGCCCAAACTTTATGGAAACATGTTGAACAGTTTTCCAGTTCTCATTACTTACACTCGTGTTGGTTGACAACCAACTTGCGCGTCTCGAAACATCAACCGACGTTACTAACTTGAACTGAACAGTCTATATCAACTTTCGCTTTTATTAACATTCTAAAATTTCTAAGTAACTAAGTTATTTATGCTGTCGAACAACGTTTTGATAGCTGGAAATAATCATTGGAAATTATGATATTTAATCAATTTTGCATTCGCAATTTAAATATTTACATTTTATTCAATAAAATGCTTAAAAATGATAATTGTAAATGATTGTCGTTTGCATTTCGGCTGTCCCAGGTCAAAACCTAGTAACTGTTTTGGACTAAATTTTACAGGAGAGCAAAAAAACACTTTTTAGGGAAGCCCTTTTAAACTATTTCACACCTGTCGAGAAATTATTGTTTACAAGAAGGAGTGGTTTGAATCTCTTAATTTGATATATTAATTATTTGTGTAAGATTCATACTACAAATTATATGAGCTAAAACAGTTTTAACAAAAAAACGTCCAAGTAAAAATTGTCTCCCAAAACCATTTCAAACCTAGTAAGTTCTCTTACTAGATTTTGATCTGGTTTAACATATTAGCTGAAAATCAGGTTATCCAGACCAAAAGCTAGTGAGAGCTATCATGTAACTTTCAGTTGATTTGTTTACAACTAATAAAAGTAGTAAATAAAATATAAGTACAAAAAGGCAATATATATCAAAATCAGATTTATTGATTTAATCAATTGTTTCCATTTGACCAAAAAAAGACAAATCCAATGATTGGTTATTTACAGGCAAATTATACCAAAAAGCTTTTCTCTACGCTGGCATTAACGGTACTAATTTGGAGATGATATCGTCCTCCTTTGCTTGGTTAACTCCCCAAGGTTCTTCGACAGGGGGGGCAAAATAATTGACATTAATTTTTTTTTGTAAAAATTCTATTTCTTGAAAATTTTCGTCAGACCTAGAATAATAAAATGAACTAAGTATTTAAATCGAATTAAAAAAACTAAATTTTAATTTAATACACACAATACTACATATAAATTTATTTACTGAAACGTCTTGTACCTGGTTTTATAAAATAGGTTTCTTGAACCCTTTACGAATTTGACCTGGACCACAAACTTTAACTTAAACTCTCTGAGAGTTTCACCAAAACGACCAGCTCTCTTTTTCTTAGGCCAGTTACAACGATTTTGAATTTCTAATATTTTAATATTTTTTCTCGATCTCAACACGCAATCCTTAAAATCTCCAAAATCGTAAATACCACGTTGACGTCTCATTTTTTGCTCAATATTAGCATGAACTGCATCAGCGGCCATATGAGTGTGTCCTTTAGTTAAATAATTAATTGTTATTGACTCGATTTCATTTGCTTCGTTATTAACTATCATGACCATAGCAGTGAAAAGAGTCCAATTTTTATTTTGGGCAGTACAATTATCGGCCCAAAGGTGATAATGCTGTACATCCCTTTGGTCATCTAAAGTCAAAGTCAAAATAATCTTTATTCAAATAGACTTCTTAAAAGTACTTTTGAATCGTCCAAAATTTTTTCCCTACCACTCGTTCAGGACGTCTTTTGGCTGATAAGAAGAACGAGCAAGAAACTCACCAGCTCTAATATGAGTAATGGACATTTACAAAAACCATGTCATTACCAGATCAATACATTATAAACAGAGATAAAAAAAAACTATGGTCTTATAATAATAACATAATCATTTAATAATAGTGGAAACAAGATAATGAGTTTAGAAGTAATCACCTATCCAGTTGCTGGATCATCTCAAGTCCAAGCGTTCTTATCTGTTATATAATCGGATACCTTATAATAAGCTTTTTTAATAAGTATTTTTTTAATAGTAGATTTAAACTGCATGATATCTAATTGTTGTATTTTGCTTGGGACCTTATTGTAGAAGCGCACACAAAGACCCTTGAAAGAGTTATTAACTTTTTGCAGTCTAGTGACAGGCACCGTTAATTTATTTTTATTTCTTGTATTAAAATTGTGTACATCACTTTTTATAGAAAACAAACTAATATTTTTACGAACGTACATTAAGTTCTCGTATATGTATTGAGAAGCAACAGTCATAATGTCTATTTCCTTAAATTTCTCCCTTAAAGAGTCCCTAATCCTAAGATTATAAATTGATCGAATTGCTCTTTTCTGAAGCACAAAAATTGTTTGTATGTCGGCAGCATTTCCCCACAATAGGATACCGTAGGACATAACACTATGAAAATAACTGAAGTATACTAATCTGGCAGTATCTATGTCAGTTAACCTACGTATCTTCATTACGGCATATGCTGCAGAGCTAAGTCTACTCGACAATCTATCAATATGTGGGCCTCACTGTAGCTTAGAATCTAATGTTATTCCTAAAAATACTGTGGTATCCACAAGGCCCATGTTCTTATCTTTAACATTGACATTTATATCTACTTTTTTAACATTAGGTAGTACAAATTTTAAGCATTTTGTTTTTCCTTCATTAAGGAGAAGATTATTTACATTAAACCAATGTACTACTTTAGCGATAGAATTGTTCACATCGTCATTTAGAGGTAACCCTCTTTTAATTTTAAACAAGAGTGAAGTGTCATCCGCAAACAAAACTATTTCGTGATCATCCCTTACGAAATAAGGCAAGTCATTTATGTAAATCAAAAACAAGAAAGGACCAAGTATTGAGCCCTGCGGAACGCCCATCTTAATTTTCGATCCAGGAGATCTTTTGCCATTGATATCAACCCTCTGTACTCTGTCAGTCAAGTATGAGACAATAAAATCCAATGAGTTATCTCTAAATCCATAAAAATGCAGTTTCCTAATCAATGTTTCATGAAAAACACAATCAAATGCCTTAGATAGGTCACAGAAAACACCTAGCGCATCATGTGAATCCTCCCAGGCATTAAAAATTTCTTGTATTAACTCGACACCGGCTTCGGTTGTCGAGCGACCCCTTGTAAAACCAAATTGTTGTCGATTCATAAGCTTATTCTTGTAAAAGTACGTTTGTATTTGATCCAGCATGATTTTTTCAAAAATCTTACTAAACGTAGGTAGCACGGATATAGGTCTAAAGTTAGTAGGGTCAGATGTGCTACCCGATTTATGTAAAGGAATAATTTTACTATATTTCATGAGCTCAGGAAAAATACCACAATCAGTACATTCATTAAATATATAAGCTAAGATTGGAGCTATTGTCTCAATTACCGATTTAGAAACTTCAATGGAATTACCCCATAAATCAGCAGTTTTCGTTTTCTTTAGCTGATTAAAAGATTTTATTATATCTTTAAAATCAATGTGTTGAAACTTAAATTGGCTATTAGAATTATTTAAACTTGCCTTTAAAATAGATTCAGCAACAGTGGAAGAGGAATTCAAAGATTGTGTAATTAAGACTGGAATTTCAGTAAATAAATTTTCAAATACTGTAGCAACTTCAAGATCTGATGTTATTTTTTTATTATCAATGTTTAAATTAAAATTTATATTCCGGGATTTTTCTCTTCCAGTTTCACTATTTATGATATTCCACGTCATTTTAACTTTGTCTTTACTATTTTCAATTTTTGCATTTAAATAATTACATTTGGCTAAACGACACACTTTTTTAAATAATTTAGAGTAATTTCGTACATATTCTTTGAAGTCCTCACTTGTGTTATAATTACGTTCATCATATAGTTCATAGAGCCTTTTTCTGCTTTTGTAGATTCCTGGTGTAGCCCACACACTAAAAGTTAGAGGATTACTAATACTTATTTTTTTTGGGACAAAAATCTTATTGAATTCTGTACAATAAACATCAAAGAAATCTTTGTACAAATCATTGGGATTACTATTATGTTTCAAATGATACAATTTACTATCTAATTGATTTTTAAAACGTTCCAAGCGACTCATACTTTTTGACACAACTGTAATGTCTCTCCTAGCCACAAACGTACATTTATGCGGAAAGCTAACTAGTTGTCCAAAATGATCTGACGGTAGTTGTTTAATTATCTGTCTTGAAAGTGGTACTAGATCTGTAAAAATGTTGTCAATACATGTGGACGAAGTAGCAGTTACTCTAGTAGGCTCCTTAAACATGTGCGCAAGATTATAGGACATAAATAGATTTACAAGTCTTGTACATGAATTGGAGTTTCCTAATAAATCAACGTTAAAATCACCCCCAATCACTAATCGTTTGCCTTTGCTATATACCTTTTTTAATGCTTCATCCATAACAGTTTCAAAAAGATCATAATGAGAAACTAAACTTGAAGGAGGTCTATATACGCTCAGTACAATCAGCTGGTCCAGCTCTATACAGGCAATCTCTATTATTTCCTCAACCGATAGGCTCACTATATCTCTACGTTCTTTAAATTTAAACTTTTTATTTAATAAAATTAGTGCGCCACCACGCATTGCGTTTTTCCTAATGAACGCGCTACCAACCAGGTGATTATTGAAGTTAAAAATGGAATTATAACTTGTTAACCAATGTTCCGTAATACAGAAAAAATCAACATTGTTACAGTTCATGAATAATTCCACTTCTAACTCTTTACTCAACATTCCTTGAACATTTTGGTGCACTAGGTTGATGACTGAAAAACTCTTGGTTCCATTATTACTTTGACTATTCAATAGCAAGCAAGAGGAATCCTCTGTTGTCTTAGTATCTAATTTAAAGACGAATTTGTCGCAATGTCAGTAGGATTATTACTGACAGTCATGTCAATAGAAAAGTGCTCTGGTTAGCCAAATTTTTGGCTGTTATAGAAAAAAAATATGATAGCGAAATAGCTATTTGTCTCTTATAATAATTGGAAAGATAATATTTATCTTTAGTCAAATAAAATTTTCTAACATACTTGTTAGTGTCAATAAAAAGGCTTTGAGTGCGTCTACAATATTGCTGGCGTCTCGTCCAGCAATCGCTTCGTGCCACAACACGCATACAGACATGTCATCCGATTTTTTTTGAATGGGGGCAAAAGTAAGGTTAAAAGCTACTAAACGACTTAAAAAGAAAGCATCCTTGTATTGAGGCATATCTGGAAGTAGGACAACTTTTTGTAAGTCCATACAAAAATATTTAGTCCTATTTTCATTTCTTTTGGCTCCATCTAGTCTGTATCGTTCTATTGCTAACTTAACTTTTTCTTGATGTTCTTTTTGTTTAGTCAAAATATCTTCTGGCACTTCAGTACTTTTATCTGTATGTTTCTTAATTTCTTCTTCATAAAATGAACATTCCGCACACTTATCACCTTTTGGCATATTAAATGAAATATTAAGTCTTTTAATTGTTTGTCGATAAACTTCTACACTACAGCGAAAATCTGGATTTTTTAATTTAAAGTCGGCATGCATTTGCTTTAGTGTCAAATTCCGCGGTAAATATCTTACATTTGGGGCATTTTGCCTTCGATAATGACTGACGACTGGTTTATAATTTAAGATATGTTGTTCAATTATAGTCTTCGGTATTTCATTTCTGTTACCTCCTCTGCCGTCTTTTAATACTCCACCATAGATGTTACCTTTTTTTATAGCATTACTTATTTCCGTAACGACGCCGTCTGTTTTATAACCTAAAGTGTCGAGAAAAAATTTTCGGCAAACAGGAATAGATTCATTATTATTATTAGGAAAATAAAAGAATCTAGATTCCTTTTTGATTATTTCTGGAGTGTCAGTTTCACTCACTCTGCGTTTTTTTATGCCAGTTATTTGAATACACTTGTTTAAAAAGTTACGTCGTGAACGAAAATCAAGTTCCCAATAATTATGCCAAATTTGAATCCTATTTCCAAGTGAAAATGACGCACACTTACGACTGCATTTACTTTTACAACTGTTAATTATCATTATGTGTCGACTTTTTCGTTTGAGAGAACATTTGGATTTTTTAATATAATTTTCCTGTGCATCTTGTTTGTTAGCAAAAATTGGACCAAGGTAATCTGCCACAAATATACTATTATTTTCTTCTTGAATTGATTTTTCATCTGTATTAATTGGTCTGGGGTTGTTGTCATCAGGAAGAACTTCAGTTTTATGTTGCCGTTTCGGCTGAGGCTTCAGGTATTTTCTAAGCCAATTTGTCGATAAAGTTACATTATCATCAGAACTGGAGCTATCGTATAATTCTGATGGTATATCGGCAACAGAATCACCTAAATCACTTAAAGTAAAAAGATCTACATCATCTATCTTTTCTTTGTAGTTATTAAATGAAGTGTCATTATGAACATAATCTGAGACTGCATTAGACGTAGATGGCTGTGGTTCGGTAGGAAAATCCTTAGCATTAGCTATATCCGAAACATCAATCGCGGAAGCAATGAATGTAGTGTCATTTAACATAATTTCTGATTCGGATAGCAAAAAAGGCAACGTAGTATTATTGATAGAGGCAGCAATTACACTGTAAGTTAATAAAAAAAACACATGCAAAACCTTCACCAAAAAAATATCACGAATAGGTAGATTTAGTGGTGACTGTGAATGAGCCATTCTTTTTTATTTACTTTAACCGTTATGATAGCGGTAGTCTTACCCGAAAATACTATAAAATATAAACCACGCTCAGTTACTTTGCCATGTTAATTCCACATTTATACTAAGAATATTTTATATTTCAGAGGATAAGAAAATGAGAAATTTATATAAATTTAAAAAAGAAAACAAAAGTGTTTATTTGCGATTATAAAAAAAAATGGCTCAGTTTCAATATTTATTATTAACAAAATGTAAAATTTCTCTCAACTTCGGAAGTACTTGTTAGTATACAACAAACTTATTGTAATTGATAGTTTGCAAATAATAATAAACAAAATAAAACATACAAAATCTGCGAGGAATAACATACAAGCGTAATTAATTATGTTTGATTAATAGCACAATATTAAACATCAACATTCCCAAATAAATGATAGAGTGAAAATATAGGTTAAAATACCTACTTACATGTATTTGAATAATTTGGTTCATAGCTTATATTTATAGAATCCATTATTCGTCTTGTTCGATAGTTACTATAATAACGTCTCCAGATTACGTCATATATAAAATACAAAAACCTAAACCAATCTCTATAAAGCCTCAAAGGCGTCTGCCCCGCTTCGCCGATCTCGCACTCTCATGTCATGAGCAAGAAGGGCGCGGGGGGCAACTAATAATACCCAGCATGCCAGTAAAATAAGAATTTACCTACTACTACTAAGTAACTATAAACTTAGTAAACAAGACTAACTTAGTAACTCGATATTTTAATGTCTTACGAAAACCACAAAATGTTGTTTCTATACATTTATTCACTTCATAACCCAGTAACTATATTTGACCCTTTCAGAAACCTAGTATGTGCTAACACATACTAGAGTTTTGAAATGGTCAAAGATACATACTAGGTGTTGAAATGGTTGAAACTTAACTTTTCATAAATTTAGAAGCACTTACTAGGTTTAAGGTACCCTATAACTTTTGATAGAAGTGAATTTTGATATAGGGTATTTTGGCATCTTGTGGGGACTTATTGGAAAACCACTTTTAACAAAAAACACAATTTCCAATTTTTGTAGACTTACTAGGTTTTGAAATGGGACAGCCGATTTGTATGATATAGTAACTACTGTTTAAAATGGAATCAAATATAAACGCGTTATATCCAATTCAAATAATTTTATTTTATAGTAACTACTGTAAATAAAGAACAACGGCGATAAAAATATTTTTTCTGCCTAACTAATTTGTTGATTTATGAATCACTTCTTCTAAATGGGTAAAATATCTTTTCGTTCGACACAAAAACAAAACGGTAGAAATATATGAAAATTATTTTATTCAAAGCTACACTCACAATGAAGCTTATATAAATATTATCAAGGATCTCTGTTATATAATACTCTCATTTATTCGTGTAATATAATCAACAGGTTACTAAATTACATCATCGTAAGTTTATTTGCACCGCCCGCCCTAGCCCGGGCTGTAGGGGTGTGTTTGATATTTTTCTCTCGTTACAACCCAATTTACGACAGTATCTAGTTTTCTACTGTCTCTGTGAGAATCTATCAAGTTATTGCGCCTTCCCTTTCTGTATTCTATTATCGTTATATTTCTTTTATCGAAACGGGAAGAATAAATTCATAGCGATTTTCGTGTTTAGACAGAAATAGTTTAAAGAGTTTAGATACTTATTATATAATTATTTAATTTGTTTGTAAGACTTCATTTATTCATATTATTAGAAGATATTATTTATTATTAGTCACTTCTAACCAGATAGGACTTCTTAAATGAAAGTATTAAATTAATTTAAACGATAGTAATTTATTACTTAAAATAAATAGTATTTCAAAAGTTAGTGTCTATAACTTATCAGTAATAATCAAACTTATCAGTAATGAAATAAGCTTCCGTGCCGATTTAAATTCCTATTTCTAAATTAGGCAAAAACATTCTCGATAACATTACGACACTGAGAAAATCAAAATATGTACATTTGAACGGAAAACTGTTTTACCCTCATGTTACCTCGAGTGTTCATGCCACGGCTCACGTTACCGAAGCACCCGCCATTGCGTTATCTATAATTGTTCTATAAAATGGCTGCCGTAATTCCTTAATTTGCCGATCGAACATTAATCACTCGATGCATTATTTTTAATTGACCTGCTTTTCGATGTGCGATTTGATTGATTAATTGTAAATATTATGAGGCTTTGATGAGTGCTCTACAATATTTATTTTGCATAGATACACTTTGTGAATTTATTATTGTATTTTTCATAAAATAAGAAATATTAAAATTGTATTTTAATAATTTCAGAAAGCCAGTATGGGTTAAAATTAGTAATTTTCTCATTGACTTTTAAATAAATATAAAGATAATAATATATAAATATAGAGTAACTTGCTATAGAGACAGTACAAAAATTTATATGAGAAAAACAATTCACAAAATAAAATAAATTGAACTAACCTACACTATACCCAGCAATTAAAGTTGCTATCATTAATAAAAAATGGTTGTCAATACATTACGTACATATATTTTAATAATCAATATGTATATAATAGGAGATGCCCTGATACACAGTCTAAACCGCTTGTCGTAGAGATTTGAAATTTGGAGGGCACAATCGTCTTATTACGTAAATGTGTGTTAAAATAAGACACAAAAAACTTTTTTTATGATAAAAGGCTTGAAATAGGGTATTAAAGTTTGTATGGAAATTCATCATTGTCTAAAAGAAAATCATGAAGCTTTATATTCAGGTATTTGACACGATACAATTAATAAATGTTTGTTTTACCGTTTTCGGAAATGCTGGCCATAGTAACTGCAAACCAAGCGGGCGAATGTGGGTGAAAGCTTGTGTGCTATAAAAATACGTCCTCGTTGAAGTAAGTTACGGTCAGTTGCACAAACGTCCATTAAGGTTTAATGACATTCTTAAGCTATAATGAATGTCAAATTTGTATGGATAATGCCGTTTTAAACTGATGTAAATTTTAATGGATGTTTGTGTAACTGGCCGTCAGTGTTATATAAAAATGAATTCCTTATTCACACAAAAATAAATCTACATTTACGCCATAGCAACATTCTAATAACATAATTAACACACCTTTATGAATAGAAATGTAGATTTGAAAGGGAACCGGCGGGGCCTTAACATTTTACGAAAAAGGAGATATTGTGTGAACGGACCCAAAAACGGTAGTAAAAGCTCATTTAATAAGATTTACTTCACTAATTAATGGATATTCTTTACGAATGAATGCATATTGCTTCCTCAGATGTTGAGCGAATTCCCTTTTTTCATTTTTATTAAATAGGTGTATTGAATTACCGGTATCAGTAAAAGAAGAAGTTAAGCAAGTTTCACAAAGAAGTTTTAATATCCAATTATTAAAAGCGCATGAGATAAATTATTGTAAACGCTATATTTATGAATGAGACAGAGAATGATATATTGCAGGGAATAAGACACCAAAATTCTCTCGAAAAAGGATGCTTATATTAAAGTGGCACGTGAAAGACCTTGTTTATTAAAATAAGCATATTATCCTATTACTCCATGAAAAAAAACAACAAATACCTACTTAACCTTATTCAAAAGCGTTTTTTCTCCAAGTTTCAAAAGCGTTAAAAAAAGGTTATTAGAGAAATTGCATCGGCGAACTTTAACAAGGTAATTAAGATAAAATTATATAAACAAATCTATGAAAATAAAATTAAATACATACCTACATAAATTTCACAGCCATTTTAATAACATTAATATATATATATATAAAATAATAACAAAAACGCTTATGTCAGCTATAGCGTGAACAAATCATAAAAACGTTGAAATATAACTATGATGGCGTCAGCGTTTTTTTATCCGACAGAAGAAAACACGGTCGTTAAGGTTTTTTAGCACATACATCATCAACATTATATTTACATGCGTGTGTTCTATGAAAAATGTTTTTTATGTTACACGGAGGCTGACTTTATACTTGATCGAGATAAATATTTCGTAAGTGACAAACATTTTAGAACAGATGAAAACAATTATGCAAGGTGCCTATTTCAAAAATACTTATTCGGCAAAGAACTTAATTCTGTAATCTTTTATTCTATTCACGAAGATAATACAATGATATGATAAAAACACAATGTTTCGTATTTAATATGACTTGTGCTGAACTAATATGTACTTACTAGCTTTTACCCGCAACTTCGTATGCGTGGTATTAGTGTCAATTTACAGTGGTTAAAATACAGCTTCAAAAAATAAGAATCTATTTACAGTGTTTTTTTTTTTTAATCGGCTTCGAAAAATTGGAATAGGTATTTAACTTGACTGTTTTCTTGTATTCGTATTGCACTTTTTTGTTTGAAAGAGTCTCGAAATAATCCCATTAAAACTTTAACGAAATAAGATCAGTAGTTTTGTTTTAGTTTAAAAACTAAGAGAACTACATCGCCAAAATGAAATGTGGTGGTTGTCACATAGAAACTCTATAATAAAAATTATTGTATTATTTTCATAAATAAACAGACCTCAAAATCGTAAAACAATTCTTATTGTGACAAATTAAACTTCGTTTAAAGTCACATCGCCCGAATGAAAATTGAGTTTATTGAATATATAAGAATAAGAGTTATGCAATTATTTTGAAGTGGTTTTTTTCTCCAAGTTTACATACTTTTTAAATTGATATATAAACTAATTATTTGGTTTTAAACAAAAGTAGAAGCAAAAGTATAAGTATGTAACTAAATATAATATCCCCATACAAACTTCTACCAGTCTTTTCATTCCTTTTTCTACCAGTCTTTTCATTCAGGATTCGTATGAAATCTA